ACGCTTGCTGTTATCGAGCATCCTTGAAAATTAATTTTCAGGGACGGTATATTTCTACAACCATTTGTATGAGCGACTAAAATAACAATTATTTATAACGGATGTCGCAATTTTTATATTGGTTACTGCGTACACCTCTGGGACCCTACTACTTATAGTTAGTACAAATCTGGCAGTGGTTTCTTACTTAAAAACAATGACACGGATTGATGGCCACGCACAACCGCTAACTTCTTGAGCTGTGCTAATAAACCCTTTCGTCTTATTCTAGGGTTTAGGCCATTTTCAACTCAGAGAAACAAGGACCAATGGACAGTATTACCTGAAGTCAATGGCGCTATGGTAGCCCTGGTACTGGTAGGCAGCTAATTGTCTGCGCCATTTGAAGGGAAAGTAGAGTAATCGATTTACTTGGGTAATTGATCCATCAAACCCGACTTGAGAGCGTCTTCCGGGTCCCTCTTAATGGAAGCGAAAGTAACGTACTGATGTTTCAGCTCATCTGCCGGGTACCTCATCTTTGATCAATTCAGGAGTACGATCAACCTGATTGGTCTTGGAACCTATGCGAATGAAGAAGTGCGGCCGTGGAGACGGCGTTAGTGGCATCTAGCAACGTGGTACTCCTGGTATGTAATCTCAAGGAAAATCAGCTTACAAATATTTATATACTCAACTCTCTCCATCCATTTCAAATCATAAGACGTTTTAATTTAACTTTTCTAGATACATTATTTTTTCGATATATCTAGATATATTGTATATCCAAATGCCTAGCGAAAGCTACATATAAAAAAATTTAAAGTAACGTCTTGTAATTTAGAACGGAGGAATTATAAGGTACCGTTAGAGCGCAATGCACCGTTCAGCTTGTTTGAGTAGTACGGAGTAACAAATATATAAAAGAAACTATCTAGACGCCGGCAAAAGGGTATTATAGGCAGTTATTAGCTCAGGGTCTATTTATATCGGCTGAAATTAATTGTTAGCCATAAAGCTTAGTCAGCCAAATATTAGCTACTCCCTCCGTTTTAATTTATACTCCCTCCATCCCTAAATAACTGTCGTTTTAGGTGTGCATGTCGTAAGTTTGACTAGATTGATAGAAAATACGTGCAATATTTGTATCTCCAAACAAATTTATTAAAAACCTAGATTCAAGGATCTTTCCAATGATACTAATCATGTATCATAAAATTTATATTTTTTTAATATATAGTTATTTCTTAGGAAGCGAAAACGACCGATATTTAGGGACAGAGGGAGTAGATCGTTTTGACATTTTTAGATACACATTTTTATTATGTAGTATATAGACATATCGTATATCTACACTGGTAGAGAATCGACCTATAGTCCTGGTTGAAAAACCCCTTTAGACCTTGTCTAGATGTTATCGGATTCACCTCAATCCACATGTGTTCGGGTGGATTGTGGTGAAATTTAGTTCAAGTTCCATTATAATACATGTGGAATTGTGGATTGATGCAAATCCGACTACATCCAAACAAGGCTTTAGTCTCGGTTCCCCAATCAAAACTGCAGATTTGGAACTAAAGGCCTCATCCTTTAATATCGGGTTAGGCAATTGGGACTCAAGGGAATCTCTAGTCTCGATCGGTAACAACAACTAGAACTAAAGGGGCCTCCGGCCCTCATCCGGGGGTGGACACCTTTAATCCTAGTTGGTGTTAGCAACTAGGGCTAAAGGTCTCTTTTTCTTTTTCCTTTCCTACTTTCCTTTTATTTTATGGTTTTTTTTCATTCAATTCCTTTTTTATTCCAAATAAGTTTCCGTATACGTATTCTATGCTACTACTGTACATCCATACATATAAGTTTCCATTCCCGTATGTATATATATTCAAAATGAATGAAACTATACATGTATTTCAAAAGCTTGTATATGAAACTATAGATAAACTAACAAGAGCTTGTATATTACAATGAGATCATTGTCATTCATCATCTAGCGAAGGACATATATGTCCTTCATAGTAGTATTCTCCACCTGTATATACGATCTCCTCAAGAAGAAATCCTGCCATTCGCTCTTGAATTGCTTTGAGGTGTTCCGATGGTAGGAGTTGTTCCTTCATCCATTCAAGCTTTGAATAAAAGAAAAATATGAATATATGAATAGTGTGTGTATATATATATATAAACACAATGATAATAAATAAATTATGAATATAGTTTCTCTAGAGTATTTCTATTGGAACCTGGCAGGCAGTGGATGTGCTCACAAACATAGTATCTACGTAAATTGTTCCCCGGCTTTACACTTTACGAGAAAAATAATTCATCAAATAATAATAAAGCATTGTAATAATGAAACGAATGAAATCAAGATGCGACCTAGTACTTACCGGGAAGTTGTAGACTATACGCAGAGGAGCCTTCCATGCATCACCTTTGTTTTTCGCAATGAACCTTACCCAAGCACTGTCTAAGAAAAGAAATAAATGGAGTTATTCCCTTGATATCAAGAAAATAGAGATAGAGGTATAGTGTGATCACCAAAATTACATTAGGAGAATATCTATCATGTCTTGGTACTTCTCTTTGTCTTTCTTTAATAAATAATCTATGCAATAAATAATCTATCTCGATGTGCAACTAAAGTTTTGCTATGCGTGTTTCTATCTCTACTGTAAAAGAGTTATGCACATTAGGTTCTAATCCTATCAACTAGCCTATCAAACTAAGCTAGGAAAGTAAGCACACAACCAAGGTACATAATATAAATGCGAAAGCTAAAACGGCGATAGAGATGCAAACCCCCGTCGATGACTTCGATATTTTTACTGAGGTATCGAAAAGCTCACGCTTCCCTAAGTCCTCGTCAGAGCCCCTCGTAAGGATGCCCTTACAAGGGTCAAGCTCCTAGTTGGGTAATTCCTTGAAGCACTCGGGCCTTTCCTGTGCGCAAGTGGGTCTTCGAGTTGGCCTCTTCGGGCCACTCCCTGCTGTGTTCACTATCGAGTTTCCGGCCAAACCGCCACGGGCCTCGTTTCCTTTTGGTACACGGTGGTGCCAATACTACAAACGCGGTTGGTGATGTCTCGTAAAAACCACAAGCCCCTCCGATGTACAACAATGGTGTGTAAGTACCGAGTGGTGAGAGGTACGTAAACCTCACTAAAACTAGACCTAAATCTAAAGCAAGCGCTAATGTGGTCTAACTAACCTATGCACTTCGCAAAGCACACCTATGCTAATGACCGAGTATATCACTGAGTACTTTGGTGGTTAGAGCAACTAGAGATGAGCATCAACTCACACAAGTCTTCCATGAGCTCTACACACCCTCAAGTGGCGTTTGGTTCGGTGCCCTTGGGGTCCAACACCCCTGCTCGGTGCGATGCCCTGCTACCCCTCTTTCAATTTGTTTCTTCGTAATCTTCACGTCCAGCTTGCATGGTTTCATCTTGTGTCTGGGACTTTTGCATGTCTTGTAGGTCCTCAACATTGCTTCTAATGTGTTGATTGAGGTGTTGATCACCCGGATTACCACATTGCCTAAGTCCAAGTCCACTTTTGGATCCTTTGAACTATATATATATATATATATAAAAACACTAGCAAATAATGTTAGTTTAAATGGTCTCGTTGATCATCAAACACCAAAATCCAAACTAAATGGTCCAAGGGGTCCATTTTCTTTAAACCTACCTTTGCAATGTCATGCTTTGATCTAACGAAACCCTTACGTGATGAAGTAAGCTCAATGATTGGGAGGTATTGGTGCGGCCGGCAAGACAAAACTAACAAAATCCATTGGATTGGATGGCAGAAAGTGACAAGATTTAAGTCCTTGGGTGGGTTAGGCTTAAGAGACCTTCATGCTTTCAACATGACCATGCAGAGTGGCGTATTCTGACACAACCTGATACACTGTGATCTCAAGTATTAGAAGCTTCCCTCTGGTAGCATTCTTCATATATACTAGTCCTTCGGGCGCGCCCATGCGCGCGGGCCACTGGCCACGGGCTGACCAATGGCGAGACGACAACGTCCTGGGCGCATCAGGGCTCTGACCAGACGACGCCTACGCCCGTCGGTCAACGCAACGAGAACCACCCATCACGACTTGGACGGCCAGCATTCCATTTGCTATCGTGGACAGCCTCAGCGCGCGTGCTGGCCACAACAAATGTAAACTTTAATATATAGGGGGCTATCATACATGTGGCGCAGCATTTTGAAGGGGGTGGAACTAGTGAAATATGGAATAATCACACGTAGGAATGGTTCCATCATACAGAAAGTGACCGATCTGATTAATCCAATTACTGGAAATTGGAATGCACAGTTGATTAATGATGATCTTTTCTTCCAAGAAGATGCATATGCATATACTATTCTATCTACTCCGTTGCATGAAGATATGGAGGATCTGGTGGCATGGCATCCTGATCCCAAAGGTATGTTCTCGGTCAAGAGTGCCTATGCTCTGGCCATCAAACGCCGTGACTCCCTCAACAAATCTGATGCCTCCTCTTCAGCTAGTCAGCAAGGCAACTAGATATGGAAGAAGATCTGGCAGCTAGCTATCACTAATAAAATCAGAATGTTTATGTGGACGCGTCATACTGATTAGTGTAGGCAATTTATTTGGAAGAAGATCTAACAGTTAATTTGGTTTCCTGGACTAAATTTTAGTCCCTATCACGTCAAATGTTGGACACTAATTAGAAATATTAAAAATAGACTAATTATAAAACTAATTGCGATGGAGACTAATTTGTGAGACAAATCTATTAAACCTAATTAGTCTATGATTTGACAACGCGGTGCTACAGTAAAAAAATATGCTAATGATAGATTAATTAGGCTTAATAAATCCATCTCGTAAGTTAGTCTCTATTTGTGTAATTAATTTTATAATTAGCTCACGTTTAGTCTTTTTAATTAGCATCCGAACGTCCAAAGTGACATGGACCAAATTTTAGTCCACGAATCAAACACACCTGCCTGGAAGACCTGGAGCTGGTTGCTTACCTCGGCATGAACCAGGTGATTGTCCAAACTGAGGCACCGAACTTGGCATTGGCACTAAAATCCAATGGCTTTGATCGGGCCGAGCTAGGAGTCATCTTCAGAGAGATCAAGTCAAAAGTAGCTTTTGATTTTAATTGTTGTAACATCTCTAAATGTCATAGGTCGTGTAATCTTGTGGCCGACTGTATCACTCGTTGGTGTATCTTTAGGTGTTGATGACACTAGTTTATGGCTAGATCATCCACCGGACTTTGTAAGAACACTGGTATTGGGCGATTTGGCTGACGGTGAATGTTAAATGGAATTGCGATTAAAAAAAAAAAACTTTCCAAGCCGCCACCCACCTGGTTCTCGACACCCACCAGATTCGCGTCGCCCATCCCGCCGCGTCACTGCGTCCAGGCACCAGCGCCGCCCACGCGGAGCCGGGAGCCGCGCCGCCTGCCGCGGAGCCGGCAGCCATCCGCGCCGCCCGCCACCCGCACCGCCCCGAGGCCCTAGCCACCACGCCAGCAACTTTGACGTCGCCGACTGCTGCACCCAGCCACCAGCCACCAGCAGCGCCGCCCCGAGACACAACGCCACTACGCCGCCGCCGGCCATCCCCCAGGCAACAGCCAACAGCACTGTCGCGCGCAGTCCTTCAGGAAGCAGCCCCCCTCCGCCGCCGTACGGTGCTGCCTCTTTTCTTTTTCTTTTACGATTTCGATTTATTTTTCCATGGATTTGCCCTATTCAGATCCTCAATCAATTTTGCATCTTATATTTTTTCTTTCCGCCCTTGTTGATTGATGCGCTCATCTGACTTGATTTCATTCGCTGTTGCATTTGAACTGCGGTTGGGGGCTTCTTTGTTGTTGCAGCGCCGGACGTCTAGCGGGAGCAACTCTAGTTTCTGGACCACCAACTCTGGCGCCCCTGTCTGGAAGAACAATTGGGCTCCCACAGTCGGTCAGCAAGGTCAGACCATGACCTCAAATTGCCTCGTCCCTCCGTCCTGGTTTCCTTTTCCCCTACACGAATCAGTATGTAGCATATATGTTCTTGATCTGTGCTAGACTTTCTGTAGTGAATTAACTGCTCGCTATTGTGATCCCTGCACCAATATTGCACTATCGAAGCTTGGTTGTAGTAGTGACCTGAGGACTTCTCTTCCAATTCTTTCAAAGCTTGCATCTAGATGTGCTATTGATTGATTTCCAGTGGCTATTTTTGCTGCTCTATATATACAGATTAATTCACCTGTCATATAATTCCGTCAATGAATTTTGCTGCTCTATTTTGCACAAATTTAGGCAACAGAAATTTCCAGTGACTAATTTTGCTATAGCTGCTCTATTTTGCACTGTGATTCGCTGGTTATGGTGTGCTAGCTGTATAGGAAATTTGTTATTATGTCTTTTAGTGTTATATTACTAGCTGTATAGGAATTTTTATTTTGTTTGACTGGAGCAGTTTATGTTATCTTTAAATTTGTAACAGGTTTCTCACTGTGATCTGGTTGGTTGTTGCTGCTTTATTTGCTATATTGTTGTTATGTGGCTGGAGGATTGAGAGGGAGAGGCGAGTGGAGCGACGGCGGCTGACGCGCTACAGTACCCACGGGTACTGTTCATGGCTAGGGCTGCGAGGGTGAGAGAGAGCCGGCCGCGGGGCGTTTGCTCACGGCCGGGCAAGAGGGAAGGGATTTCCTTCTTAATTCTTGCTTGATTAGATCGATAAATCTCCTCTCCTTATATAGAGAGGTTTACTTGACTCCCAAGCAAGGCTTACTTGACCCTTAAGTAAGCGACCCTTATCTCTAATTAACCCTAACATTAATGGGCTATACAGCCAACCCAGGCCCAATAGGCCCCTGACGTACTCTAACAATTGTCAGTTGCCCATCTCGCTTCCCACCCGCTCGTTTCTTCCCCCGCCCTCGCCTCCTCCTGTGGCGACAGCTTCCCTTCCTCAGAACCTTCTAGACGCGGACCGAAGGACCCGGTCGCCAGCCGCAGCATCCGTTAGCGAAGGCGAAGTAGGCAGGCTCGGGTTCTAGGGGCGGCCTTGCTGGCCCGGTATGGACCAGAGGAAGGCCATTTTCCGCGCGAAGCTCCGCGAGACCAAGGAGAAGCAGCAGCGGCGCATTGACCCCGCGCTGGTTAGGTCCTTCACCGACTCTCACTCTCTCTCTCTCTCTCTCTCTCTCTCTCTCGATCTGTGTCTTCGATTTGGTTCTCGATTATCTTTCGGTGTCCTGCCGCTAAGATCATTCAGTGTCTGGGATGCCTGCCGCACCTGTACAAGGTGTAACCATAAGGCATTTGGACGAACAGCCGGCGCGAATTCTGGCTAGTCATGTGCAAGAACTAGCCTTTCTTTTTGTTGTTTTTCTCTAACCAATACACACTACCCCTGAATTACAGTATGACTCTTGGTTCGCTGAATTAATGCTTAGCATTATCATAGGTTTGGACTCTTACATATTACGTAGCTATCCCTATTGTTTTTTCTCCCCAACGTGATATCGAAATTTTAGTTCGAGTGGATTCCAGTTACCAGTATCCTGCATCTGTGCATCATTTAGTTATTCTGCATAGGCTGTCATAGATCTTGAGAGCATAGATGTAAAGACCACAGGTAGTCACCCTGAGTTTTAACTACAAACAGTAAATGTGTTTCAAATTGCACTCGGACTGCTGAGAGAATCAGGATCTTAGTTAAGAAATACTACTATGAACTACGAGACATCAAATTGACATCTTAAAGCTTCATAATCTTGTGCAGGTATAATGAATTTGACCAGCCCATATGCAGAGTATGCAATATTACGCTAAAGCCTGAAGCACTTTGGCCTGCACACCAAGTGTCACGGAAACATCATGAGGTAACAAAGCTTCGCCTGTGTTAATTGATTTACGCTTGTGAGTTGATGTTTTTGGCTACTTGTTAAAAAACCCACCCAACTGAATATTTTGCTGCAGCAATACACAATACATAACTGTGCAATCTTATCCTATATAAAACTAAGTCTTCTCCACTACTTCATTTTTAAAAAGATTAGACAAAGCACTATGTAACAACATATATGATGCTTTTGTTGTTATGATTATTTTTGTTTGTCCGATCTGAAACACTTCTACCATTTAGTTTCTGTTTATTATCAGGTAGCGTACATTTGATCAGAACTGCATGCACATGATTTCTATGTTGACATAATTAGGTAAATATACTTTAATTGCTCCAAGGATAGGCTTATGGTTTATGAAATCACGTTGATATACATTCAAAGTATATTTGCTCTTGAAGTTGAAGGTGCCTTTTTTTTATTACTTCTGAACTGAGCTTGTATTCTGATTACAGGCAAAAGCCGCCACTGCTAAGGCTGCAACAGGTGCGGGATCTAGAGGCAGCATTGCCAAGCAAGAGCAACCATTGGAGTCTCAGAAACAAAAATCTTCCACACTACCTACCAATTTTTTTGATAATCAGGGAACTAAAAGGCAAAGTGATTGTGAGAATATCTAATGACCTCCCTTGCTCCAAATAGTGTAAAATCAACTGGGTCTGTAGTATTGCTCTAGAGGCATTTGCGTATATTATTTTACATGTCATGTTGCTGTTGTGTATATCTGATGGATTATCATTATCATGGAAATAAACATTTCTTATTTTGCTTTTGAGCTTACATTTCATTCCTCCTTTTGTTCTGCCACTCGTCCAGTGTTTGCCTTCCATTATTTTTTTGTCACCTCTATGTACACTTGCTCAGATACCATGTAAAAAAAACTCGGCTTGCGGGGGGAAAGATTGCCCCCACGGCATTGCTCTCAGATACCATATTTCTGTAGAGTTGTGCATTCTAGCCTATTTCAATTGTATTTTCAAATGAATCATCTGTATTAAATTCTCATTTTCATCTTCTCTTATTTAAATCTACCACTACCAATAAACTCTAATGTCCTATTGTCCTTCCTAGCTGTACCTGATAAATCATTAAACCTATCAGTCTGCCACTGTGTTAACTGTTAAATGAAACATGGTGTAGGATTTTAATACACCATGAAGTTGTTTAGAATGTTTACCTACAAGTATAATGTTAGTTATTCTGTTTTTTTCTGTACATTTGTCATGTCAATGTCTAATGCAGATGTGTTTCCTGTATAGCTTTCTACCTGTAAAATGGCTATTTGTTAGGGCCCTTAGTAAACTCAAAAGTTTTGTGAATATCAATGCCCTGATATAACATCTTTGATTTCTAGATACTGGTTCTAAGGGAAGGTCTATGCGCCGTGAAGTTGCTGTTATTCAACCGAAGACAATAGGAGCAAGCATTGATAAATCATCTGTTAGGATGGATCAAATGTCAAAGAAAGGGAGTCAAAGCAATACCAGTGTCAAAGGAATCCTTCCAGGGAATTTTTTTGACTATGGAGAAGAAGATGAAGCTCCAACTCCAGTTCCAAAAGATCTTAGTACATCTCAAAATGTTGCCAGTTCCATTCACACAAAGGTGAAAGGTGTCCCTGATCGCTTCTTTGATCACAACAAAACTGGCAGTGGCATGCAACCCCAATGAACCGAGTTCAGAAACTGCTCAAGCAAAAGGATCGTTGCCTGAAGGTTTCTTTGATAACAAAGATGCAGATCTCCGTGCACGTGGTATCCAACCTCAAAAAGTTGACATGAAGTAAGTTTTAGTGGCCATCTCTTGCCAGGATTATGTTCAGCATTCATGCATAACCATCTTTACCAGACCTACCCATTTGTCATGCATTGTCCTGTTCATTTGGCAATTTTACATTCTGTTGTCATGACTCGTGTATTATGATCATGTCTCTTCGCAGCAGCTGGTCAGCATAGTTTAACAGCATAAATGAGTTTGATTTCTAAACTGGTCATTTTATTGTCATTTCCACGCCCATTTTGTGTTTGTGCATCTGTCAAGTTCAAAATCTGCAGTAATCTACAGTTAGTAAAATGTTATCTGTTGTCTGTACACTGACACTATCATGTCAATTCATTAAAATCTTGTGCAGTGATGCATACAAAGAATTCGAGAAGGAAATTCCGGAGGATTTGCAGGAAGTTGATGACCGCCTTGAAGAAGAGGAGGTTAGGTTAATTTATATTGTACATTATATGCTAACAGTGAAAAAGATATATACCTACCCATTGCCAATGTTTGTTCCAGACTGCTGATACGAGCAAGCTTTTCCTTTTTGCTGTAGATTGATGCTGCTGCTGAGAGGGAGGAGTACTTGACTCTAGAGCAACAGTAAGATACTTCTCCACATCCTGTTAGACTTTGAAAAACATATGTACCAGAGTGAAGGTTTTTACCGTGGGCATCCTTTTATTTCTACACAGGGAGTACAGGCAGCAAGTTGATATGTTGAAGAAGCAGCTATTAGAGTCGAAAGCCGCCCGTAGTGCTAAAGTAAATAGCAAACCTACCGGTATGGACATGGAGTCCAGCACTGACTCATCGAGCGACGAAGACGATGACAGCACAGATTTTTCTGTTGATTGGAGAGCACAGCATTTGAAATGATGGAAACATTTTGCAACTGGTATGAACTACCGTGGAAAGTCAGAATCTTTAGCATCCTGCCATTACCGAGAATTCTTCAGTTTTTTAAATGAAGAAAACACTGTAGTTTTCCATCTTTCGTCTCCCTGTTCCACAGTAGTATTCTGTGTAGCACCCATTGGCAACTTCTTGGTGTAGGATTAAATTCACTGCAATTCGTGACAAGAATGTCGATGGCTTCAGGTGCCACGCTTGTCTTCGAGAACAATTCATCAATGGCCGAGAAGACAACCATCTCTGCCTCCTCGCGGCCGTCCTCAAACTTGCTGTATTTGTACGGGTCAATGTAGTGGCCTACTAGAGGCACGCATGTTTCCTCACCAAGGCCTGAACGCTCGTAAAGACGTGTCACGAAACGTACACTGCGTTCAGTCCACTGACTGACTTGGTGGACGTGCTCGACGGCTGCGGAAGGAACACGGTAGGTATTTGGGGGACGGTAGCAAAGCGTAGTCAACGAGATACACCGCCCGTGGGCGCCGCATGGTGAGTACGATCACTGCTGTGCCCAAGAGGAACCCAATTGAGAGAGAACACGTCTGTGTTCCCGACGGAATGAAGCAGAGTGGTGAACTCATCAGATCTGCTTGCTCCCACGATGATAGCTGCCGTGGCGAATGGCACTGGCATTCTCAGGAGGAAATTGTCTACTATTTTCGCGTAGACTGTTTTGAGGTACGGAAAAGCTCAGCCACAGGCGTCCGTCGTAGCTCCCAGTTCTGCCTCCCTCCTGCCCTGCGAGTGGACTAGCCTCTAAAAGAAAAAAAAAATTCCCTGCTCAGGCTGTGGTATCTTCCTCAGCTGCTCCAAACCCCTCACCGCACCACACCTCCGGCCGACACGCCGCCGTAAGGTCCCGTAGTGGGGCGCTCTCTCTTCCCCGCTCCCCCAGCACGAAGCGTCTGCTCCGGCGTCTATCCCGCGTGGCCAGCCCTTCCTGCGGTGCTCCTTCCCGTGAGGCACCCGACCCCTTCCCTCGCTGCTCCGCGCGCCCGCGCCGCACCACCATCCAGCGCCGCGCCCTCATCCACCTTGCTCGTCGTGGAAGGGGAGGCCTACGTCTGCACTGGGGGGAGGGGGGGCTTGTGCCTGCACCTATGCCCCCATCCACCTCGCGTCGTCGGTAGGAAGGGGAGGCCTGCGCCACCGCAGTTCCCCACCAAATACACCGTGGCTGCCGGCAATGCTGTGTTTTTCAAGTGTTTTTAAGCGTTTTCAGATATGTTGCAAGCCTATATTTTAGTGTTTCAGTTATTTCAGATGTATGTTTCAAGTGTTTCATACAGATGTTGCAAAATTAGATCGGGATGATGCACATGTTATAATGGCTATACACATATGTTTTAAGTGTATGTTCCAAATGTTTCATCTGTTCATGAATGTTATAAGTGTTTTATCTGCATATTGTAAAAGTATATCTGGATGTTGCATATATATGCATGTTGCAAGCATATGTTTCAAGTATTTTTAGATGTTTTATACGTATGTTTGTAAGTGTTTCATATGGATGTTGCATATGTTTGCAATTGTTTTCAAATATTTTTCATGCGTTTTCGCAAGTGTTTTAGACGCTTGTTTGAAGTGTTTATTTGTTCTCTATGTATGTTGTAACTGTTGCATCTAAATGTTTTAAAAGTAGATCGAGGTGTTGCACATGAAATACGCGTAAGAAGCGGTCGACGGCGTGGATGACGTTCGGGGCGGCGCGGGCCCATTGTTGATACGCTCGCTCATGAGCCCGACGCGCTAGGCGCTCGCTCGCTCCCTGTGTGGACAGCGTCCGGACCCTAGCATTCGGATCGGGCGTCCGAGCGCCAGCAAGTAACGCCAATTGGTGATGAACTCATTGGGGTATGCGTTTCGCGCGCAGAAATGTGTAGAGCAGGTGAAGATGGGGAGGAGGGATCACTCTGCGGCCGCATTTAAATGTGCAGACCCCTGGGCTACCTGGTCATGTGTATGTGCAACTGACAGCCAACTAATAACCAACAACAGTTATGAAGTTGCTTCCGTTGCTTGCCACCCATTTGTGTATCAAGGAATTGTCCTACAGGTCATTGCTTCGTCGCATGCAATTCATGTTACCTGTGCATTCATTGGATAGAGCGATGCCCATTGTTGGATTTCTTTGTTGTGTCACGAACTCAGGATACTGTGTCTTCGTTAAACTGGTATGGTATATGGTCTTGCTAGAGGTCAAATTTCTAATCACATTAACCAAATATTATCTGAGTTCCGTGGTGATTTATAGAGATTTGGCCAGATAATGTCAAGATCAGCCGTTTAATTTATATCCAACGCTAAATTGTAGGTTAGCTCAAGTGAGCATACAAAAACAGCTGTGCTTTTTTACATTCTCTTTGAGGGGGAAATTGTTTAGTTTTATAGTTGTATATACAGCTATAGTGGGCACATGAAAAACATGTCAGCTTTGAGGTACATATTTATATATTAATTGCTAGAATAAAGTTACAACCACGTTAAGCCACATCCAAATCTTGCAGCCATTCGACACTAGTACACAGAACATTAGTACAGGTGGTTTCTAAGTGTGAAACACCTGTGAAAATTACGAACTTCACAGGCATCTTCTAGAGAACTGCCAGTGTAATAAGAAAATCATTTGTGTAAATGCATTTATACTTGCGGTTAGATACCACCTCAGTGAATGCATTTACACTGGAGGTTAGTTCAAGAAAAATGCTTGTGCAAATGCATTTCCACAGGCAGTTCATGTAAATTTGCACTGCTTAGTAACATAAACCGCTAGTGAACTATTTTTTAAAATTTAAATGTTCGCGCCATATATTTCTCGCCAGAGACAATTATATTTCAAAATTTAAATGAACCCAAACATACATCACTGGCAATTATATTTCCATGCATGACAAAAACAAAATTTCCTTCATTCTACCATAGTCATCAACGCAAGTATATACATCAAACATAGCATACATATATATACATCAATTTTTTCAACTCATAAGTTCCATGAATTCTCTAACAGTCATCTTTGTTTAGTTCTAGCCTAGAAAAATCTTTGAGATCTTGATCTTGGTACTGCTGTGCCAAGTGTTAACTTATAATTTCCATGAATTCTCTAATAATCATCTTTGTTTAGTTGTAGTCTAGAAAAAAATCAACAAGATCTCAGTACTCTGGCCGTGCTAACTCAGAGATAACATCGTGATATTTCTCTTCAAAGTGAATGATTTAACAAATGATGAACCGGCACATGTCCTCGCATATGTTCATGATGCCTTTATCTTTAAGGCTTTTCTGCATTGGCTGGCAATGATATACCTGCAATGAAAGTTTATAGTCATCACATATTTAGAAGTGACCAATGCATTTGCAACACTAATGACAAAACTTCACATATGACTATTACTTACTTTGCTAGAGTTTGTGATGCATCGTCCATTTTGTTTGAGAAACTCGCACATGCAGTACCCACCGAGGACCGACCTAGGTGGTTTCTTCTGGCACTATATAACAGGCAAGTTGTTATTTAGTTTCTATATTTACATATATACTAGACATGTATGGCATTTATTTAAAATTCACCGGCCATTTGTTCTTTACAGACAACGGCTTTGATTTTAATTTTGTATCCTATTTTCACCCATGAACTTATTCCACTTATATGCCCTGCAGAGCTCGAATAAAATCACCAAGTCATTTCCAAACTCTCAACGATAATATGGAAATGTTAAAAAGTACGCATGCATATCTCGACTTACTGTTCTATAAGTGTCAAGAATTTTTCATACGTGCTGATTGGGTAATCTAGGGAGTCAAGGACCAACAACCTTTTGATGACAATCTAACATAGGGGTGTTTTGAGTCCCTGTGTTAAGGGCACGACAGTCCGACTAACAACCAGGGGCTCAGGGGCTACACCCATGGTTGGTATTTCTTAATGTATGCGAAAGAATCCGTAAGCGCACGGATATACCGTCGTAGCACTTCACCCGAAAGTATTTAGGATATCGTATTTTCCCATAGGAATGGTGGTGTAAAAGTCTCTTAAACTAGTTCACTTAAGAAAACAAGGGGACTGATAGCTCGGGTGGTGAGGTTTTATAAGGATAGAGATTCTAAGTTAAGATAGCTTTGGTTACTAAAGACTTACTTTGGGCACCGGCTTACACTTGGTCTGCCAAGTGCCTCTAGCTTGTAGCTCTACATCAAACCTGAACGTGGGGGATTACAAAGGACGAATAGGGCTCTCACCACCTGTCGCTTACCCCTCAACCGCGGAGAACGAGGCAAACAAAAGTAACTTCTAGCATAGACACCACGTCTACACTATTGGTAACTACTCTAGAGTTGGCCAGAAACTTCCGTCTCTATCAGGAGTCCTCTACTAGAGTATTCGTCACAAGAACGAACGACGAACCCGCAAGAATATAGTAAACAAAACTAACTCAAATAGAAACTCACCACCAAAGATGAACATGAACCTTATACTCCAAGTAGTACTTGGTTCATTGAGGTACAAGTGTAGAAGAAGCCGATAGCTCTGGCACTCCTTCCGCCAGTTGTACAAGGGTCGCCAAGTACAAAAGTGGAGGTAGCCGACAACTCCGGTACTTCTCCAACTCTTTGCTCACTCACTTCCTATTCTAATTCAAGCTAGAAGCTAAGGTAGGAATGTAGCTCTTCTTCTCTTGTTCACTTGTGTAGTGTGTTGTGAGGGGGGCACCTCCCTTCTTTTTATAGCTTGAGTAGTGTCACATCCGGCCCAATTTGGAATTTGGCCCGTAGTGGCCCATGTGCATGTTAATGAGATATTGTGGGGGGTTTCGTCTCTCCTTGGTTGTTAAGGGTGGGTTAGACCAACATATAAGGCTTCTAGAGTTCATCCCACCATCCTCGGGTTAATCCTTTTACGCGAAGCGAGGATGAAAGCGTAAGTAGGATAGTGGTAGGTGTGGTTCGCTCAGTGTGAGAGTGGA